ATAACGCCCCCACGGCTAAATGGGCGGGCATGTTTGGTGTGACGGAGATTCGAACCCGCGACCCGCAGATTGCGAGTCGAGCGTCCTAACCACCTGGCTGTGCCGGGCCTATGCTACTTTAAATGTTCACATTTCTTCTAACGAAACACACATTTTTTATGTTGTTCTGCAAAACATTTGAAGTGTGGTACGAAGCCTAACCAATAAACAACACATATGACGTCACAATTCTGAGGAAGTTCAATTTCCATACAAGTTAATTCTGTATTTTAAGTTACATTGATTCTTCATGTAATGCAGTTGAATAGCGAATTACCTAGTTTTACAATTCTTGAAAAATAGGAGATTAACAGACATACATTTTACTGTATATATATATATATATATATATATATATATATAATGTTAGTAATGTTTCAGTTATTTAAGAAAAACAACATTTCATTAAAATTAACTATATATGTAATTGTAGAAGACTGGATATTTTTTAAGGTCTAGAACATTTCTGGCTAAAAAAAATTTACAAAGATAATTTTTAAATCACACTCAAATATTTCTATATTTTAAAACTACCTAACATTAGGCACATGAAATAATCTGATTCTTCTGTTTATTAAAAACTATCGTAAAAGCCCGTCAAAAATGACGGGAAACCAAAACTATTGCGTATAAAACTGGCAATACACACACAAAAAATAAAATAAAATTTCCTTTCCCAGGAACATGCAACATATTGTTCCTGAATCCACTACATATAACTGAGCAAATATGCTACATATTGGTACCTTTGGATAAATAATTAAAACATACGATAACCATGTGATTGCATACACACCTGTTTTTCTTCTGAGGAAAAGTCGGTATCTTCCCTACACATAATTGGTATTTTCGGTCTGTTTTTACAAAGGCTTTTACGTAATAATTCCATACACAGATTTGCGCTAATGTTTGATTTGTTTTTCACATGAGTCTTTCCGGCTTTTCTATTCAGATCCTACCTATCTTGACGTCATAATAATGTAGTGCACACACATAACGCCGTGCATGATCTGATCCTGTGAACTCCCTCCTTGACAGACTTTTATATAGCAGAAAAGTGCCGAAACTTAGGAGCTACTTACACTTATGTTAGCAATTAAATTCAACTAAAATGGGAATAGATTATTAAAAGAAATATTATAGGAGAAAAAGTGGAATTGGACTCATGTAACTCACGAAATTCGGAGAAATCGAGCGTGATCGACTGACTGACCGACCGAAATTTGGCTTTTATATATATATATTGATGATGTGTCATTATCTTCAGTCCTCTTTTTTGTACAATGAGAAATAAATAACTATTGGATAAAAATAAAAGGCAAGCATTCAGAGGTGTGAAACTGCAAAAAAAAAAAATAATATATATATATATGTCGTTAGAAGTTTTTATTATGTAGCGGATGAAATAAGCTCATCCACACACAAAAAAGGAACCTGTTCGATACTATAAAAATGCACATCATGCACACAACTACTGATTTACACATTTCAAATATAACAAAAACATAGAAAGCATAACAAATAATTTATTTCGAACTCAAAAATGAGAACAAGAGTTGTATGTCTATATAAATAATCTACCTGGACCGCACGTTTATTCGTATCTTTCATTTTATTGTTCTCTTGAAATTACAAAATATATTAACTGGTGATTGAGGCGATAAATTTAAAATCAAGCTTTTTAGGCGAAAAAACATTTAATTTTGGTAGAATATGAAATCAAGTAACAATAATAATACATAAATTATTCTTACAGTATAATTGAGCATAAATAAGAAAACATTTTTCTTTTCAAAAGAATGAGTGTATAGCCGCTGTCTGCGAAAAAAAAAAAGAAAATCAATAACTTGCTATTATACGTATTTAAATAAACAATACCCTAGATGTGAAAAAAAGGATTGAATGTGCAATTTAAAGGAATGAAATAAAAACTGGCGGACAAACTGGTTATTACACTTATAGCATTGATAAGAATTTTACAGCAAATATTCATTCATTAGTTAGCCAGGCCGCATTTTTTGTTCAACTTGGGGTATGATGGCGGATAAAACAAATAACAAGATGTTATTGATTAGATATTATGGATTTTTGTCAATACACACCAACAAACCACATCAAGTAAGAAAGTGACCAACATTAGCATTAGGATCGCAACTCTATTATTCGGAACATATATTTACTTTACAGAACCAACCAGATTCTTTAAAATATATGGTGGTAGTGTTTCCTCTCTAAAATAGTGTCAATAGCTTCCTTTATGGTAACACCATGAAATTTAGATTAACAGTTTCTTGTCATCACCCGCATGCAAACAGTACAGCCGTATCAAGCATCATTATTTATGCTAATTGCTTAAGCTTCACGTGACACAAAACGCCTTTTAATTAGAATAATTTCATAAAACTTACTAAGTTTTGCTGAAAAGTTGGCAATGAATAATCAATAATAACCGTCCACCCGTGTGATTCTTTTGAAAACTTGAACTAGAAACTGCTAACCTAGTTTGCTTGACCTAACCAATATTTATGTATCTGCACGCCCTTTCACATTATAGTTTTGCTGCTCTACATCAGTCGTCTCTAATCGAATGATAAAAAACTAAAAACAGTCCACTTTTACTCTTAGGTGAAGCTGTAGTAAAAATCTTAGACCGATAGCATACGTGACTTTTTTGCGCAAACACTTTCGTCAAATTGAGTGGTTTTTGTTGAAACTTTGCACATGTGTTTTATAGTTAAACCAAATGAGACTCCTAATTGTAGGTTTAAAAGATCTATCCGTGTAACAAATTTGAAAAACAAATCTATAAAAGTTAGGTATGTTTTTCTATCAAATGAATTTTCCATATTTTTGGTGCGAAGAAAAAAAAAGTAAGAAACTCAATTCAAATTGGAGATATCATATCTGTGGTATTTCTTAATGGATTGTTTGAAATTTGGTATGTGAAGTAAAAGTGCAGTAGAGTACATCCACTGAAAATATGTAATAGTTTGGATTACCACATTCCGAAATAAAGAAGGTGGAAAATCGCTACACTATAACACGCTGTTATTTTGGCCGCACAACACACTACCGTGCGTCTTAATATGACTTAATGTAAGAACCAAGCAATGATTGTTTGTTTGTTTTGGAATTTCGCGCAAAGCTACACGAGGGCTATCTGCGCTAGCCGTCCCTAATTTAGCAGTGTAAGACGAGAGGGAAGGCAGCTAGTCATCACCACCCACCGCCAACTCTTGAGCTACTCTTTTACCAACGAATAGTGGGATTGACCGTCACATTATAACGCCCCCACGGCTGAAAAGGCGAGCATGTTTGGTGGGATGCGGATTCGAACCCGCGACCCTCAGATTGTGAGTCGAGAGCCTTATCCACCTGGCCATGCCGGGCACCCAAGCAAGGAAGAAAACCAATATCACCTAGCTTCCCTTCAGTGTTAAGAGTCCGAGCTAATCATATGTGACGTTACATCACCTGATTGGTCTCATTCTAGCACTACTCGTGGGTTGTAAACACGCCTTTGTTTATTTTAGTAGGTATTGATATAGATTTCAGGTTTTGCATAAAGTTCAAAATTGTATTAACTAGAAATTGGTATAAGTATTTTGCTTACGAAAACATATGTTTAGAGGAATATGATTTTTTCCCACGGTAATATTTGTAGCCTTGTCCCCGATTGATTTAAAGCCGTGCAAGACACTTCTGTCGGCATCTCTGGTACCAATCGTTTTGGCCTTTAGCTGTCTACACCTTGGAAATTATCAAAACATGGAAAGGAGGCTACAGATCATTCATTGATAGTGAATATAACGTTTCGCGGGTATTGTAACTTGCGCACAAGCATCTAAGTAGGTACACGAAGTAAAATTCTCCTTGTAGGACAACTGAATGTGTTATGTAAAAAAGAAAAAAAAAAAAGTTTTTTTTGCAAACAAAGTTTGTAGTATTTTATACCATCAAATAGTTCCCTAGTGTGTCAGGGTGTAAATTTGGGGACTTTCAAAGCTAAAATCTGGGGTTCGATTCCCTGTAGTGTACAAAACGTAAATATGTTTATTGTGTAGCTTTGTGCTAAAACACAGGCATAAATACAATACCACTAAACAATAATTTAATAGAAAAACGAGTTGCTTTCTCGGCGATAGTTGTTTACTTAAAATGTTTCCTATCTTGAGCGAATTTATTTTTCAATGCTTTTCATTAATAAAACGAAAGAAACAAAAACATGAGCATGCTACGTAACTTGTTGGAGCCTCGGTTTAAGACAAATTTACAAAACTGAGTGGTGAAAACGACACCATCAACTCATTTCTGAGTTGATAAACTAGTACATAAATTTCTTTCTTTTCTTTTTTTTTTTGTTGCTGTTATAAAATGTTAATAGTTAAATCAATTTTACCTTTTAAATCTACCCCCTGTGTAATTGTGCTGTAATACACTTGTGTGGGTCTGAGAAAAGTGGACCCACACAAGTTGCTACCACTTTTTTGTATTATAAAAAGGGAATTAAACAATTTTTCTTTGACCAATTCTACAAATGTTTGGTAGCAAAATAACAGTAACAAAACAACAGCACCATTTAATTCTCTGGCACGATCACCAAGGACTTAATTGCCTGATTTTTGATGATATACAACTATATTATGGAAATTACGAAATTTTCACCACAAAGTTTGAGCATCGTTCTCGACATAGGAAAATCAAGAGCTAATAAATGTTCACTTTGTTCATCTTCTATTTATATACTTACACATATTGTTTGATAACGGACACAAAATTGCACCTTTTTGCGTTTTATAAGATAGGAAAGTCTAAATTTGGAAACATAAATAACTCTTTTAGAGTAAATATAAAAATACATTGCTTTTCTTGCAAATAGTTAAGGAAGGTATAATGAATTGACTATTGCCAATGTATCACGTGTTCATTGATTAAAATCAATATGTTCGTGATCACTAGATGCCTCTGCGAACTGTACTAATGCTGAAAATGGTAACGAGAATTTGAAGACCAGCTTGACAAATATTCGTTATCTATCGCTTCGCAGAACTCGTGGTAGATGGCTCGTGCATCTGGTTAGCTTCGATTTTCATGGCGAAGATGAACCCAGTTGTAAACTTGAAATCTAAAAAAAAAGTTAAATATTTTCTTTCAAAAATCTAGTACTAAGTGGTATTATCCAATATTTTAAACATTTTTATATAATTACTTATAATATTTATAAAATACGGAAATGAGAATCTTGTAAATTATTCTTTGAAGGTATTTTACTAATAATACTTTTATTTTATTTGAAAATTTACCACTGGATAGTTTCCTAAAGCAACATTTTTCGGTTATTTTCTTACAAAGTAGAAACTTTTGCCTTAGTTTTAATTTTTTATTAAGATAGACAATATTTTTAGGTTATTAAAAACTTAAAACAAAAAGACCCGGAAGACTTATTTTGTTAATATGTTATTATATATAGCCTTTATTATATTTCCATACATTATTTTTGTAATTAGTCGAACGCAGATTGTCTCCCATGGTAACCGCTTAATGATTGTAAAGTGATTTTTTTCTGCGTTTATGCGTCACATTCACTAGGTAATGCTACTTACAGACATAAAAAAGTTTTGTTTCATTTTTTAGCGCTAATTAGGCTATCTGCACTCTGTACAGTGCAAGGAGCAAAAAACATAACGTTTGATAGAAAAAGTTGCTTTGAAAGCTATATAAGGAGTCACTGTTTCTTCTAAACTTCCTAATTTAATCGACGTTAAAACCAGACGATAGATTTTAGTAAGTAAAAAAATAAAGAAATTATTTTAATTATCTAATAATAATAAAGAGCCAACCCAAGAAAAAAAATAGCGAATAGAATCAGTGGCGAATCCAGGTTTTCCACTCAGAAGGGGGAAGGTGCAATAAATTAAAAAGCTGAAATTGATCTAAATTTTTAATAAATTGGTCATTAAGACAATTCAAATCAAATGTAATAGTGTTTATCGAAGTTTATTTTGTATGAAATGATACAAACGAGTTTATTATATATAGAAGCTGAAAAATAATATGTGATCAATATGCCTAAATTTTTTCAGTGGGGTGGGAGGTGCTGGGCCCACTTGTGTATCTAAGAATAATAATAATATAAATTACACTGAATTCGTTACAGCTGAACTAAGGCGTTCTGCACCGTAAATCTACAGTTACATTCATAAAACCAATAACTAATGTCTTACTCCATAACAAAGACTGAAACTTACTTTTTCTTCTGAAAGTTACTTTAGACTAGATTTTTTTTTCTTAAAGAATGTTGGGTTGAACAAAAACTTGGAATCTTCCGTCGTTCGTTTCTTTAGACATTTTGCAACCGCTTTGGTCGTCTTCCATAGCTGTTTCAAGGTTTGTTTGTTTGTTTTCTCATACATCCCACTTCGTCAGAAACAGTGTTGCTACAGGCATTTTTGTTATTGGTAAAAAAATATTTCCGGGAAACCATCTCGCGTATATAATAGCTTTTATGCATTTGTAATATTTTTTACATGTCTGTTTGATTTAGGAAAGACTAAAAATAAAATTGTCAACTATCTCATTCCTTGTATAGTGGTATTTACAAAACCTAAACTTCAATGACAGTAATGTGCATAATACAATATTGGGTTCTCAGGAACTTAACACAATAGAATATTTCAACTGTTCGAAAAGTAATTCTAAAATAAGTCTATAGTGTTGACAGTGGAATCACCAGTAATCACGTGTTTATCTGTTATCACGTGATTCGAACTGGCAAAGTCCGTCCATGAGTGAAAGTCTGCTGTTACAGGGTCAACAAAGTTTTGGATTTTCAAGGGATCCTCGGTTTTCTTTGTGGTGACTATCCTATAATTGCTTCCTCTGTTATTGTCCCATTTATAAAAGTGGTCACTTTTATAACATACACAGAACTCGATCACTTCAGTTTCTTTCGCCGAGGAAGGGATGGAAACGAAAAAAGAAAAAGTATCAAACGGCGACGCCGACTTTTCGAGTCCGTTAGGGACATAAGAAGCGGGCACATCCTCGTAGCTTAGCCATCTGTCAAAAGTAACTCGAGCAAAAACTTCTTTTTTGAAGGAAATGTTCTTCACTTTAATGGTCCCAGAGAACTTATTGTTAGAAATGATGACGTTTTCTAAGGAAATACACTGTTGGTCTAAGTTGTTACGAAATTCAACATAATCTGAAGCTGGTTGAGGAAAGGCCACTTCCCAGCAACTTTTGGCCATAAGATGTGATTTTACATCTTCAGACACTTCTGCGAAAAACTGGTCTGTCCAGCGAGGTAGACAGTGTGATGCTTCGGTAAGTATCCGTACTTGTGTCAAAGCAAGGCCTTTATCGTCAGCAAACCATACGCGTTTTCTACCCTTACAGAATTTTATGTCCGGTTGAATATCGTGATCAGGCAGAACTTCATCTCGTGCTATGAGACAAGATCGAATGGGCGGCATTTTGGAGTAGTGAGTAGCATTCTCGCTGTAGTTATATCTTGTCACTTTACTATGGTGGTGCCGAAAGGGGTAAGTATTGAACCCAGTGGTATAGCAGTAGTCTGCAAGGAAGTTATGAGAAAATATAGGCGGACTGGCAGATAAGATCAGCTCAATAGACATTCCTCCACACCAAGTCACGTAGCGAATCTGAACTGAGACAGATTTAGTTCTGTTGAAACCTGAAATAAAATTCAAATAGTTTAATAAAATAGCTATTAACTAAACTACCAAAATATGCCTATACAAAACTTGGAGACTGCCTACGTGATACCATAATTATGAATAAAAATGATCATTCTGAGAGGAAAATGGATAAAAAATAGGAGATTTAATGAATTGTGGTTGTTGCGGAAATGTGGAGAACTTAAACTTAAACGTGATATATAAATGTACATTACGCTCAACAAAACACATAAATGGTAATTTTTTTCTATCAAACAACAAACTGCACAATTGTCTAATATTTTCCATTTTTAGAAACTATAATTACAATGCATCTCAGAAAAATATAAATTATGTGCTCTTGCTTACGTCAAACGTACCTGCACATTTATTGCAATGCAGAGAAGTTTCAAACCTGGGTGACTGACATTTCTGTTCTTTTGTTTTCTACAGTACTATGACTGTTAGAGAAGAACTCTGTATTGATTATTTTTTGTTTTAAGTTATTTTTCGATAATTTAATTAATTTGAATACTTTAATTACAATTAGAGACGCAGAAAACGGATATCATTTCTCGAAGTATTTGAATACTCATGTTTAGTACTCAAATAAAAAGAAAAAAAGACCTGAAAATAAACCTTTTTAAACAGCTATGCTAGGAGTGAACAGGCTTAAACTGAAAGAGTTAGAAAGAAAACTGATTTTACTGACCAAAGTCGGCTTTCGACTTCTATCTTCAAAACACTCTCAAACGCCAAACTTCTGCTCATCCCCAGTACTACAACGTCATTTTTTTACGCAGTGCATAAAATTCTCAGCATCTGTTTAGCTTTCATCATAAAGAAATCATTTGCAAGAGTATATATTCATTACACGCTAACAGTGTTCAGTCTCTACACTAGAAGCTAAGGTTAAAAGGAAGAAATTTTGCAACAAAATTTTTACAATAAATTAACACTAAGCTACGCATGTACAATTGGTACTATATTAATTCATATAGCAGTTGGTTTTTTTTATGAGCCGTTCGAATGTAAACAAAGCATTCTCCATATACCTGATTATTAGTAATATAGCTAACCAGCATAACCTAATTTATAAAACTGAAATAATGTGAACTCATTTCGGTTTCTCAGTCTTGCAATTCTTTCATGAAAAAGTAATAGCTTAAACGTAAATAGTCATTTAGTTAATTTGGATATGCAAACGCACTGCGAAATTTTACGGTTACGAAATAAATATTTAAATTCCAACATATATAAAAAAAATTCATATACAGCACCGCGTTACCTTTACATGATTAAAACGTACTGACTAATACAAAGCTGGAACATACAATTTATATTTTCGTTAATTAGCAATAGTAACCATTCTTACCATTTCATAACTGTTATCACGTACTGTATTCATATATTATTATACTGAGTTGAAAAGAAGCTCATTAATGAAATAGTAACTGATAATAATTTGTGTATATATATATATATATGTATATATATATACAAATTTAATATAAACACTATTAAAGTAATATAATAGTCTCACCTTGTTCTATTTGTGCAAATATTCAGGGATAACAAAAGTTTCTTTCGACCGAAATGTTAGCTTCGTGTTCGACCGTTTATTCACCCTTCTCTTCGTTTAATCTCACGCATGACATAGTAACTCTTTTACACGAGTCTGGCCTTTTACGTACCAAATGTTCACGTGCAGGCTGTAACAGAACCAATCAGTATGAACAAGGATAGTGTGACTTCAACATAACAAGTTGATGCTTATCCTCTTCCAACCAATCAAAACAAACAACTTCTCCGGTCGAGATTTTCAATGATACGTGTTTCTGAGCGCTTTGCGAGTTACCGAGGCAGTGTAGAGATGTTTGGATGTAGCAGTTGTGTAACAAGAATATTGTTGTAAGAGTAATTTATTCATCAGGACATGCTTTCACTAAATAACATTAATTAACGCATTTATTCATTATAATTTTGAAGAATATGCGGGTGCTTGGTTATTGAATCATTGTCTAGTATTTCAATTTAGAATAGTTTTACTATTATCCAAATCTATAAAATAATATAAGTATCATTAAAAATATATAAAAATTTCTTCAAATCGTATCAAAGTATATAGAGTACAATTAAGATGCTCATTATAACGATAACAAGCAAGGGCAACTTAAACTACCCTCATATTATAACTATAACAAGCAAAGGCAACTTAAACTACCCTCACATTTTTTAAAGATGGTTTCAATAATATTATTAATCAAAATGTTTAAAATAATTTTAGATACTATGATCAACCATTATTAATTATTAATGTTATTAAGATTATTTAGCATTGTTATCTTAGTATATTGATTTAAAACTAACCTAAGTCTCCTAAGCTGGCCGAGTCTTGTCAGATATTATTTAGTTTACCGTTAAAAGTAGCAAAATTAACGAGAGTACCCACCTGATGAGTCGATATATTCTATCATTTTAGGTTGAAAGAATATGGTAATCGTTGTTTCGATACTATCAAGTGATGTTCATTACATTATCTAATTCCTACTTGATTATCACACAGTTAGAAATGTTTGTTGATCTTAAGATTAACAGGATCGAATTGGCTTAGAAACTCTTGCTTTCTAAGCTAGCTAGCAGAATTTCACTATAGGAGATTTCCACCAGATATTGGATGATAGGCCGTTGATTATCATAAGCTAGGAGAGTCGTGAGGTTAAAAAATCAACAACTTTCCAAACTACTGAGTGGATATTTTGAGGCAGAATGTCACAAAACATTTAGAGAAAATCACTCATCTCATCCAACTGAGTGGAGAGAAATCTATAGAGCATACTGCCTGTTCCTTATCGATATTCTCTCTCGTACGTCTGGAGGATGTATGGCAATTCTACATTCATTAGAGGAGTTGTGTTTCCTCTAAGTGTATATTAACATACAGTAGTAATAGCACAAATAATAATTCTCGCTGATAAGAAGTTCAATTGAAACTTTTTAGTTTGACTTAATTCTGGTTGTGGTTCTATCTGTCTTGATGTTTAAAAAGAAAACAAGTTGAGTTTGATGGGTCCTAGATGGCAGCACATTACGGGACACAGCTATCGAGTAAGAGCTTACAAAAGTAACGAGAAGGTCACTATAATAATTTTTACGGGACAGAGGCAGTTTTTTTAAGCTACTAGAGTATGTGACAATGTGTAACGGTGATTTATATATCTTGCAAAATATATATATGAATAAATATACGTGGGTAGTATGTAAGAGCATTAAATGAAATCATTCATGAGTTTTAAATAACACAAATGGATAAATTATACAAATAACACAATGGTCAAGTAACATATGTGTGGAAACAAAGTATTTGATCTGAGTGTTAAGACTTTGGGATATGAACTTAACTGTGATTACTGACCTGGAATGTATTATTTGAAGATACATTTCACATGTTGTTTCACTAATTCGACATTAAAATATTTGGTAGGTAGTGAAGTTTTCTAAAAGGATAAGACTAACTAAGAGAACTCCTGCTGCATTTGAGAGAAAACACAATTTTATCTGGTGATTTTCGTTAATAGTAATGCAATGTATTCGTAAGAGAGTGAAATAATGCGTACTGCATGAAATTCATAGAAAGTAGCTGAGGTATTATAACAAATGTAAACTTGGTGAACAAAGTGTTTTTATTGGGTTGTAATGTAATAGTTTTGATTATGTGGTTTGAGATATTTTAATAATTACATATTTTAATGAATATTTTCATAACATTGTATCAGTTCAAGTTGTAGTATTAATGCATGAAAATGCAGGGTGTTAGTGTACAAGAGTTGTGTGGGGAATAACGTTTGCACGGTGAAACTGTAAGTCATACCAAAACTAGTACTAAACTTAGAATTATTAGGAGTTCCCTATGGAGAGACAATGTTAAAGTCAATGAAATGTAATAGTCAAAAATAACGGTTGTTGTTCCCTAACTTGAATCAGTTAATGTGTTTAGGAACCAGTTTTGCATTCTTGATACCCTTTTTTTTTCTACTGGAATTGAGCTCTATTCATGTGATAACCAGATATTAGAGAAAGGAATAAGGCCAGGTTGAAGAGTAAGCTGTGTTAACTGTTGTTAGTTAGGGATGATAGATGGCAGCACAGTTGAATATATTGGCCAAGCAGAGACCTAGTGAAGCATGGGAATTGAGAAGCTCACAGGCATTAAAGATACAGGAAGCTCTATCAGCATTGGTAGGTATCGTGGAGTTCAAGCCTCCACTGAACGTACCCCTTCTGGAGGGAGCAGAATCAGATGCAAGCTTATTGATTCCATAAGATCCAAGCCCCTCAGTGGCCTATCACCAGACTATGCCACCTATGCTGACATCAGCAAAGGCCAAGCCAACATTGTTAAAGAAGAAATGTATGAGATGTCCTATTGGAAAGGGCAACATTTCAACAAACCAGTAATGATAGATTAGCTCACACCTTCGATGAGCGCACTAAATCCCAAAGCCCCATAAAACCTTTCCAGAACTTGGTTGACCAGGCTCTGAGAAGGTTAGGGTGGGATATGTCATTTAACCATGATGGCAACTACCACGTGATTTGACAGCACCATCATCGCTAAAATCATTGTAATGCAGATGATCCTGCTGTCTCATGGACCATCCCCACCATTACTGAGAGGCTATGTCATCAATGAGGAGCATCAACATCGATGACAGGATTGATGACCATCCAGAAAAGGTGAAGAGCCTCTACCTCAACAAATATCAAGGTACCACCAATCAAGAGGAGGTCCCATGAAGAATCTCAGAGAGAGCTGAGGATGGAGCTCCCAACAAAAATGTATAAGGTAATAACCAATCAATCCGTGCTAGAACACATTCCTATTTAGAAGCCCGAATAAAGGTATATGTGGTATGCAGCCATACCAAGCATTTTCTACCTTCTTATTTTAATGTAGAATTTTTCATTTTTTTTATTCTAAATATGTACAATTTTTGCATAACATGTGGTAAAGAAAGTCGTTAAATTGATTTTGTTCTAACTGACTTTATTTCTTTATCAACCTATAGGGATAAGACCTGTTCTGCCCATGGGAGTCTTGGTTGCAATGCTGAACATTGTACAACAATGTAGTCAGTAATTCTCCAATAGTAGTACAGACAACATCTCGAGATTACAACTTCCCTATGTTTGAATGAGAATGACAAATCACGTAAGTAGTCAGTGTGAGTAAATACAGTGGTTCCTGTTAAGTAAGAAGTGTTAGATTTAAACACTCGCACGTTATATTCTGAGTGATTTCGTTAGTGGCAGAAAGTCAGACTAATCAATTCATAAGTCGAGTAAAAACTGAGCATCTAGCCTCCAAAAGCAAGTACACACACTTAGTTTTGTCTTTGAATTAAAAAAGATTGTTTTCATTGTGTGTTACTCATCGAATCCAGTCCCTTTATTTCTTCGCTCAAACTCGGTTACTTTTAGCTAAATTCAGCACTACTTCATAATTTACCCTGCCGATCCTCCTGTTATAAAGAGGATCTACCTAATGCTCCTTAGGAAATCTGTTTAATTTGAAAGTACCGAAATTATACCAATTTTTACGTAAATATTCATGAATTCTCATTACTCATCTCAGACGATATTTTGTACCGATCAAACGCTAATATTTTTGGAGGCATTTACTTTTTTTTTTTAAATGAAACCACTAGACTGACTGACCGCCGGTGTAAACTATTAATAACATACACATTAAATGTTCGTTCAAAAGTTACTCGGTTTTCTTTATATATGCATATATATACTAACTTCTCTTAGACTTAATTTTTTTTTGTTTGAATTTTAGTAAGTTGCCAATTGTTAAGTGCGCAAGAGATCATTTTGGTAATATCACTGCAAGACTTTTAAAGTGTTGTGTATGACAACTCCTACTACTCATCTCCTCCCCGCATTATATGTCATATAGATACGACGTCTTCTCCAAACATTATTAGTCAAATGGACGCTGCCCAGTCTTCCAATGTAAGTGTGGTACACATCTTTTACGCTTGAAGCACACTTGAAAATATCTTCGTCTGACCATATTTGAAAATGAGCCCTTTAGTTTTGTATCAGTTGTAAAACTCGTTTTGGATACTTTGAGTTTCGAAATTGAATTTACCCACCCAAATGCGTGAATATCAGGCTTAAGTTGTTTGTTATTGTTTTTTGTTTTTTGAAACTAGAAAATAATACTATTTCTAAGGACGGGAAGACTAGATATCAAACGGTACTGCAACAGGGGGGTGTTGCCCATAATACTACAGTTTGAAACCTGTTCTGTTATCAAATCAAACAATATTTTTCAATTTTATGATATCGATAAATACAGTGTGTTTTTTTTTTCTAATAACACCTTATTCAAAGTTATAGATATTGTAGTTACATCAGAACAGTTATGCGTAGATAAACGCAATTTTTTTCGACCACTATATTTGTATAATATTTGCTTTTCTTGTATATCCATGAGATGTAGCAACATAGGTAATTTTCATGCCATGAGAAAAGTAAAACATTTCCTGAGTGTTTGCGTCTAATAATGCCGAAAAACAAAAATGGAGTACGCGATATTTAATTATAAAAAAT